GCTCTTTGAATCTTTTCCGAAGATTCAGAGAGCTTTGAATCAATTTGGACCTTCTTATTGGTCCCCTGATTCAATTTAGATTTGGAGATTTGGTCACCGAATTGAGATGAATCTCCTCTGAATCAAGTCACCACCTGAAGTTTCACACAGCCCTAACACACGCGCACACACACACACACACACACACGCACGCATGCACACACACACCTTTTTGGGTGTAAGAGTCAAGTGTGCTGCCAATTTTAGTCCAGAAACAAGTGTGCCCCGGGGATCAAGTTTGGGAAACAATGTCCTAAGCTAATATTAATCAGGCTAGATCCTGAGCCATACTAATTATTTTTATGCTACTCTGGCAGTACAAAGAAGTTGTATAAGCTGGAAGTCCTGTGGTTAGGTGACTGGCCTTGAGGTATTAATCTCTGTAGCAATCCTGGTTGCACACCAGTATGTTCCCTTCTTTTCTCAAGACACCTCTGTACCATGATCTGAAAGGAAAGGGTATTCCCACTAGTTCAGCACCAAGCAGGAAACTCATTTTTTCCATGTTTATTTCACAGATCAGATGTATCAGCCTTTTGACATCACCAGGGCAGACTGAAATGATGGGAAGAAGAACTGGACCTCCCAGCATAGAAGGAGGAAGCATTAAATAAAACAAAACCAGATCAGAGCCCTGGAGCCAAGAACACTGATCAAAGAAAAATATTTCTAATTTCTTGGGATACGCGAGGAAACCCAGGTATAGAAACATCCATATCAACACTATGATCATATTTTGAGCTTCTTCCCTACTGATTTAAAATAAGGCCTAAGTCTTAGTGCAAATATACTTACTTGTTCTGTGAAAAATGACTCTCAGCTTCTGCACTGTGATTCAAAACTGCTTTGTCTTTTAAATGTAATTGTAATGTAATGCTTTGCCAAAATCTGAACTCTTTCTACTTACAAGTATAAGATGCATCATCTGAATTAAATGTCTTGCTAGAAAACCCTAAAAGGTCTATTGTAATACATCAAGTACACATCTCACAGTCAGTGAATTACAAAAATAATTAAACAAAAATCGTGAATCTTGAGCACAAGTTCATTGTTACAAAAGGACTGAGATCATTTACCCTGATATGCAGATTCTGTCTGACAGGAGGAATTCACAATGATCCAAATTAATTTCCTTAATATGGTCTTGTAATTTAAAAGAAATATTAAGAAGCCACATGGCATATAATGAAGCAAGGAAAAAAATAGCTAACTGATTGCTGCTGCTTTCGAAATTAGAGGGAATGATTGTTATAGTGAAGGATGGTTCTGCCATTCTGGTCTGATACCCTGAAAGTAACTTACATCTTCTACATATGCATTATCATGGTTTCTATACACAAAAAAAAGAATTATGATTTCCATGCCATGAATAATCTCCAAGGAATATAATGTTAGGATTTTAAACATGAACTCCTCATTGAAGATAGCTGTTTACTCATTAAGATTTAGAAATGAACCAAAAATCTTTTATCATAACCCCTTAATAAGTGGACGTATATCCCTTTTCAGAACAGTGTGTTCTTATGATGTTTAATATCTCTCTCTTATCTTGCAATCTTAGAAGCTTTACTTCCTTTATAAAGAAATGGCATCTTTAGCTGAAGTGGTATTTGTCTTTTCTACAGATCCCAGCTATAAGCATGGTTTAATATTTTAGAGTTTAATTCAAGTTTTTGCATCCTTAAACTATGCCTAAAACCCAGGAACGTTTGTGTCCTTGGAATGATACTGATGAAGGCAATGATGATGAAGATTAATGGTATTCCGAGTTTCAGGACACGTGATAAACAGCAAGTAAAAACTAAGCTCTTGGCCCAGTGACAGCACAAGCAAACAACAGACGTAATAAAGCAAGAGCTATTTATGGAAGGAAATGCAAACAAGCCTCATGGAAGTGGGGGGATTTAAGAAATGAAAATGAAGGGAGGAAGAGTGATTGGCACACATTGATGAAGAGTATCAGGGAAACATGGAGAAAGGCACAGAATAAGAAAATCAGGAATACATTTGGATAGAATATATGAGGAAATTGAGTCATAAATCTACATAACAACTGACTAGGCAGCTTTGCAAGAGAAAAGCATTCTTGGAATATCCCACCATGTATTGATGCAGGTAGGAAACAAACAAATGGATTCAAAAAAGAAGATAATATGAAGCAAATTAATGATGTTCTTGGCCACAATGGGTGAATCTACGTGAGATGATTACAGTGGAGTTGTCTAATAATCTCCACAGTAAACATCTCAGTGTCTGCATGTGCAGTGGTATTAGGATGGAATAAACTAATTAATTCAGCCACAGGTTAGTATTTGTAAATACAAACACTATCCTGACTGGAGTTTTTTATTCCAGCACAACACACATGGAGATACTGACAGCACTGACTGGGACATGATGGTGCTTCAGTGCAGGGACTGCCTGCCAGCGTATTGAGCTGGGTCTGAGCAACCCTGGCTTGGCAGGCTGACCTCCTGGACCCCTGCCAGCCAGGGCTGCTCCAACCTGTCTCAGCACGCTGCAGTCCCAAATCCACAAGTAAACACACTGCCCAGGAGCAATAAACTGATACGATATGCACCAGAGTTTATTGCTGCACATTAACTGCACATATAGATGCAACCAGTGTTTAGGACGACCTCCAATAAAGAGAGTAATGGGAGGATGGGAACATTTGGAAAATTGGATTAAAATAATCAAGAACATAAATTCTGAAAGGACTGGGCTACTCTTTTGACAATAGACAAAGAGAAAAAGGATGGATTTTAGAGATGTCATAGAAGAAAATGCTGTTGGTGTCAGTCTAAATGGAGAGAAAAACAAAGATAACAAATGGAGAGGAAAGCAAAGGTGACAAAGACCACAAAGATTACTTGTCACCAGAGTCACAAGTCTACATTATAGGAAGGATGGTACTGATGTCAAAAAGACAGAGGAGATGAGATTCATTGTTTCAAACTTTTAGAAAGCATGAACGTATAATGACTGCAGGAGATGAGGATGCTTTCAGCAGACACAAAGAATGTGGGAAGTGGAAAGAGAATAAAGGGGGCAGATAAGGAGCTCTTTTTAATTGTTAACAACAAGCCATCAAGACAGGAATGCTGAAGTGACAGGTTGAAATGTATAGCTGCATCCAGTTCTGGGCACTGCACTTCAGGAGGGATATGGACAATATGGAGGGTGCCAGAGGAGGGCCACTCACATGATCAGGGGGCAGCAGGGCAGGCCTTACGAGGACAGGTTAAGGGACCTGAACCTATTCAAGACTCCACAAGAGAAGGCTGAGGGGGGATCTAGTGGCCGTTTACAAACTAGTCAAGGGGGACCAGCAGGCACTGGGGGAGTCCCTGTTCCCCCGAGCACTACCAGGAGTGACAAAAAATAACGGTCACAAACTGGCAGAGGGTAGATTTAGGCTAGATATCGGGAGGTGTTCCTTCACTCTCAGGGCAGCTAGGATCTGGAACCAACTTCCAAGAGAAGTGGTGCTGGCTCCTACCCTGGGGGTCTTTAAAATGAGGCTGGATGAACCTGCCGGGGTCGTTTGACTCCAGTACTCTTTCCTGTCCATGGCAGGGGGTCGGACTTGATGATCTGCTCAGGTCCCTTCCGACCCTACCAACTATGAAACTATGAAACTATGACATAGTTAAACAGGTTAGAAGTTGAGGGAGAGATTTGCAAATCACCAGTTTACATGTAACATCTGAATAACTATGAAAAGGGACAATCTCCCAGGGTGTCTACAGATGTAGCATTTCTCTTGAGAGAAATTATTTTGTCCTGAGATCGTAGGAAAGTAGGACTGGAAGGGATGTCACAAAGTCATCCACTCCATCCCCCTGTTCAATTCAGGATCCTCCCTGACTAAACCATCCCAGCCAAGTGACTGTCACCTTGCCCTTGAAAACTACCAAGGATGGAGATTCCACAATTTCTTTAGGTATCCTGTTCCAGTGCTTGACCATCCTCATAGTCAGAAGATTCTTCCTAATCTCCAACCTAAATTTTCTCCACTACCACTTGAGGCCATTGTTCTTAGTTCTGTCCCCTATGGCCACAGAAAAAAACCCCTATCCCCATTCTCTTTGTAATTGCCCTTTAGATATTTGAATACTATTAATAACTCCCTCCCTGCTCAGTCTTCTCTTCTCCAGACTAAATAACTCTAGTCTTGTCACCCTTTTCTCATAAGTCTTTCTTCCCAAGATCCAGTAGCTCTGCACTGGACTCTATCCAAACTGTCCAAATCCTTCTTGAAGTGTGGGGCCCAAAACTGGACAGAGTAGTCCAGATGAGGCCTACAGATATATTAATCCATTGTCACACTTTATGTACCTGTGAAATATGCAAGAATATATGTGCTAACACTCCCTGTCCGTTTTGTGCCTATAAATAAATCACAGCTTATTCAGGTTAATTAACAATCATCCCAGGGCAAGCCAGTCAGGTTGGTGCTCTCTGGCCAACTGAGAAGCAACATGTTCTTGGAAGGGCTATGTGTGTAAAGGCCTGTGATGTTCCTATTTGGTCCTGCCTGGACTGAGATTTCTGCTTACAGCCCCAGTGAAAAAAAGTTTTAAAGAGGGAAGACAGGGCAAAGGATAACTCAGACAATTTTACAGAGTGTAAGAGAAGGGAAGAAGAGAAAATGTTTAAATTAATTGATTAAATGAAAGAGTGGCTGGAAAGGTGGCAATAGAAGCCTACAAGGACAGTATTACAAATACCAAGAATAAAAAGACATGAGAGAGGAGAGAGTGGTATTGTGAAGAGGAGAGAGATCTGGGAGAATGATCATGGAGTCAAGGTCCTCTCCTTTGACCAAGGAAAGGCCACTGGAGATTATCTGAGCAGTTAAAGTAGTTAGAAGAGGAGAGAAAACAAAGTAAAATGCACCTGGGATTGAATTAGAGGAGAGGAAATCAAAGCAATAGCTTTAAATTTAAATCATAAGGAAGTTCATTTGCAAATTTAATGAGTTTAGAGATGAAGGGAAATTAGAAAGTTCATGCAGAGACAGAGGAGACTTAACAGTCAGGATGTTTTTCAGATTTGGTTAATTAAAATGTACTCCAAGTGGAAGAAACCAAAAGAGCAGAAAAGATGGAGTTATGAGAATGGGAACTAAGGGCAGTCCCCACTGGTTAACAGCCAGGAAGCGACAGAGATAAAGGGACAGGTGGAGAGGATGGAGATGCAGAGTAGGAGAGCAATTGCAAAGGAAAAGGAGAAGAAGTTTGGAAAGGACAGCAGAACATCTCCCTGAAGAAGTCAGTGAGGTCCTAATCAATGGGCAAAGGATTTAAGAATGGAACTGAGTTTGGAAGATTGGCTGTAGAACTTACAAGTATGAGACTTAATCAAGGATAAATAAAGCCAATTTGCAAGAAAGAGGGCAATAGTGCAGGGAGAAAGGCTAAATTAGCAGTGAAGGAAATTGTGGCTTTTTCTTTTGTTTGAAATATTATTCATTTTCTGTGGAGATATTCAATAGTGCTAGAACAAGAGCTTGGGAAGTATATGACTAGGATGTGGCATCTGGCTGATGTTTACTTAAGATTGATGGCATAATGGGAGAGAAGCATCAGTAAAGAAATTGGAGTTGATGCCATTAACTATAGTATCAATGGTCCTAAGAGTATAAAAAGAGGAAGAAGGGTCTAAGGCCTACACAAAGTGAAGAAAATTAATAGGTTGGAGGTCTTAAAGAAAATTAGATGGATTACATGGTAGTATCCACAGTTAAGGAAATAC